AACGTGGCAACTTCCTCATACTTCTACTCTATGTTGATGATATGTTGATCATTGGACAAGATCGCATAAAGATAGATGCCTTGAAAAAGGATCTAAGCAAGAGTTTCGCCATGAAAGATTTGGGACCGGCTAAACAAATCCTTGGGATGAGAATAACTCGTCATAGATCGAAGAGACTGTTGTGGACATCCCAAGAGAGGTACATTGAGAAAGTGTTGGAACGATTCAACATGAACAAATCAAAGCCGCTAAACAGACCACTTGCTGGACACTTCAGGTTGAGTTCGAAGCAAAGTCCAACAAATGAGAAAGAAATGGAGGAAATGAAGAAGATTCCATACTCATCGGTAGTAGGCAGTCTCATGTATGCAATGATATGCACAAGACCAGATATCGCCTATGCAGTTGGAGTCGTCAGTCGCTTCTTGGCCAACCCTGGGAATGAACATTGGGTAGCGGTCAAATGGATCCTCCGATATTTACGAGGAACTTCCAAAAGATGTTTATGCTTTGGAAAAGGAAAACCTGTGTTAGAAGGATACACAGATGCAGACTTGGCCGGTGATATTGATTCAAGGAAATCAACATCGGGCTACCTAACTACTTTTGCAGGGGAGCTGTTTCCTGGCAATCAAAGTTGCAAAAGTGTGTTTCATTATCCACCACAGAGGCAGAGTACATCGCAACTACTGAAGCTTGCAAGGAGATGTTGTGGATGAAGAACATTCTGCTCGAGCTGGGAATAGATCAAGAAAGGTACGTGTTGAAGTGTGATAATCAAAGCGCAATTTACTTGGCGAAAAACTCAACATTTCATTCCCGCACAAAGCACATTGACACAAGGTATCACTGGATCCGAGAAGTCCTCGAGGAAAAGAAATTGCATCTTGACAAGGTTCACACTAACGAGAACTGGTCAGACATGATGACCAAGGTAATACCGACAAAGAAGTTCGAAGATTGCTGTCAAGGTGCAGGTTTGCTACAGCCCCCCAATTAAGTCGTGAGGGGGAGATTTGTTGGGATCCCTTCTTAATTGGAGAGGTTCTAGAAAATTCTAGAGCTTTCTAGACAAGTATAGAATTTTCTAGAACGTTCCGGAGAATCCTAGAGAAGTCTAGAACTCTCTAGAAGCTTGTGGAACAGTGTGGAATCCTCTAGACTATTCTAGAGATGTGTGGAACCTTCCGAAAGCCTATGGAAGAGTATGGAAGCATATGGAAGAGAATGGAGAGGTGTAGAGATTCCTTGGAATTCTCTAGAATAGGTATTTATGTGTAGATCATTCTAGAGAACTACTCTCCACCACTCATTATGGAGGTGGAGTTGTATAAATAGGAGTAGGAGCCTCCATTCCTAACCATCCTAGCAAGAGAGAATCCACTTCTTAGAGTGAGAAAGTTAGAGAGTCTCTTTGAGAGACAAGAGAGATAGCTTGGGAAGTTCATATCCTCAAGCTTGAGTGAACCACCATTGAGTGAGACAACTTTGTAACATCCTTGTATACCCCACTATTCTTTTGTATAGTGGAAGAATCTCCATATTGGAGAATTTAAATCGTGTGCTCCCATTGCTACCTTATTTCCTAAGTGCCTATCTTAACTTCACGAAGCGGGAAAGTCCGGAGTGTTTTTTCCAACACACACGACATCCAATATTACAAAGAAATAAGTAAATCAGAATTCACACAAACATCATCGCAAGAAAAAAGAATTCACACAAACATCATTGAAGTAGTGAGATTCTTTCTATAAGATTTGAAACAACTGCATAAGAAATGAAAAGAAAACCATGTAAAGGAAACATAATTATATTCATTCTTATATTTAAGATCTTGGTGATGTCTCAAACAAAAATGTGCTGCTATGTAACCACTTGAGTTTTAAAAAATAATACAATTACAAACCAATTTAAGATAAACAAAAATACTTATGATCCAGCTCCATCATTTTTTCTCTCTAACATATTAAAACAAAATCCTAACAAAAATATCTAAGATTGATCAAGCTTAGCATCTCCACTATTCTTTTGACAATTATCCAACTACATCCATATATGTTCACGACATTTTCAGCATCCATGCTCACTGCATTTTCTGTTTGCTCAAGGATTGTATCAACCTTGATTGAGAAGGGTTACTTCTTACTGTTTTCTTGGTTTACACTGCACAAAACAAGCAAGCGGTAGTATAACAATGCTTCTCATAGCATATGAATTAAAAAACATATCCTACTATTTTTATTGGAAAAAAATTAATAGATAAATCATTTTACTTACTAGTTTGTCTCTGTTCTTAGGATCATTTGGACACCTTCTACAATTGTGTCCCTCTTTTCTACAGTTTGAGCAATGAAGTTGGATGTGTTCCCTAGCAACTTTCTGCTCGTCTTTTGTTAGTTCAGAGACTAGTTTTTCCAAACCTCGGTCTGAGAACGAGAAAAACTCATGTTCAGAGGGGAAAAACTAAGTTAGTGTACCCTAGTTCCTCCAACTTTTCTGCTAGAGCTATCAGACCAAATTCATCAACATCTTCATCATTGAAGAAATTTAACTTACCTCCTAGATTCACATGGGGTGTCATGTGTAAGTCAATATTTCCACCATGTAGCATTTTGAGCACAAATAAACTACTGCTCCCCTCTGAAAAAATAGGTGCAAACTAATTATAAATGTGTTTAATTAATATCTATAATTCTTACAGAATGTTATGTATGTGGATAGCAATTGGAATCATAAAGCAATGAAAATAACTGTGGTAACACACATATTGATATATGTATCTATTCTTGGTAAGATGTGGTTCAACTCTGCGGTCAATAGGTAAAAATTATGCTACTCAACCGGACAACTAGCTTTTAATGTCATTAATAAATGTGCTGAAGGGTCCATCTCCGGTGCAAAAGAAAAGTGCATTTTTATAATCTCTGCCACCACTATCTTTAATAATGCACATTGGATGTGGTCTATACCTTTACAACATCTCAATAAAAGTTAAACCACATCTTTACACTTTATATTTGAGTCAGAATGTTCGTGACTTACTTTGGTTTAAAAAAAAATAGAAGGACCTGCTTTTTAGAATGGGAAATCAAATCATTATTCTAAAGGATAGCTACAATTCAATAGTTTATCTACAAATTTTTGCTGTTAATGCCATTAGTCTATCCAGTAGCCAGTATCTTTCCTACTGAAAACATTCCATCAGCCACTTTGCTTCCATCTAAACTACTGTATATTCAAAATTCTTTTTCACCATTCTCAGCACCATTAGATCCACAACGTCAGTGCTTATACAAGGAGTTAATACCCGATTTGGTCCCTGAACTCTAAACAATTCAATTCGCTCTAAGACTATACATTTTGCTCAATTTAGTCCTACCATTTTACATCATAACTGAGAAGGGTACTTCCATAAACATATGCTAAACTGGGTACAGTGTATAGTTAAGGTCCATATTTAAGAATCAGATATGTATAAGGACTAAATTGGGTCGAGATTTCGTAGTCTATAGGAAATTAGGTGATAGTGTATAGTAGAAGCTAAGGACTTACTTTGGTGTGAAGCTTGTGCGCTGTCGCTTCCAATGGCGGCTAAATCCATCATTTTGCAGTCAATTCTTTAAACTTACTCTGGAATATTCATCTGCTATAGCCTATAGAATATTAAAAGCGGAAGATGAAAGTAGAAGATGACTACTCCACCTAATCCAAGAGCAGGAGATTAAGAGCTGTGAATTTGGCAATAGAATGACTCTTTTGACCCCCATTAATTAGCACATGACACACATGTGTGCAGTTGATCGGAAAATCAACTGGAGGACCAAAATTGGGAAATATTTCATAATTGTGTACCAAATCTAGGAAAAACAAAAAATGGGGACTAAAATTGTCCCAACACTAAAGTCGGGGACCAAAAGTGGAAAAAACTCAGGTGCTTTATCATACCAAAATATGACCAAGAAAGTATGAAAACAACCATTTATACGGAGTAATAAAATTCATAACAGGGAGGTAACTTTAGCGAGGCAGCTGTCAAGGGTGAGCAGAGAAATAGATTAGGGCTCGAGAGAGGACCAATAATAACCCTACGCCAATCCATTAGTCAGCGCCGCATCCTTTTTTTCTCCTGCAGTTTCTCCCTGGGATACGTTCGTAACCCGGTATATTCTACTCTAACCTTCGTTTTCATTGACAGCGTCTCCGAACCCAGATCTCATCCTCATCCATTATACTCCTTCTAGTAATTTTGGTGGGATTTAGTGTTACTTCGTATGTTTACGGTCTTCAGATATCAACTAAGGTCCTTGCAAAAAAAAATCAACTAAGGTCTCACGTACGCTTTACTATACTGTATTATTCTGGAAATTAGTTGTTATTTATTTATTTTTTGTTATTTCCAATTAATTGACCTGGGTGACCTCAAAATTTTATTTTTGATTCAATTCGAGCCCTAACAAAAATCCTATCAGTTTTTCTTTAATTGAAGACTCGTAAAATGTTCTTTTTGGGATTTTGTTATACTGGCGGCTTATCTTTGTTTTTTCTAATTTACAAGATCCTTGCTTGGTGAAGGTATAAGGCGTCAACGTTGCATCACCTTTGGTCTTCTTAAAAAATTGTGTTTACCTTGAGAAGGTATATTCCACTATTTGTTGTGTTTATACTTTTTAGGTCTATGTATACGCGTATATGTATCGCTCTGTGTCATCCATTTAGATTGTATGTGTACACATGTGTCGGTCAATTAGTCTAAACATCCATTTGTATTAAGAGGGTGTTTGGATCTGATTTTAGAAGCTGATTCTGCTGCCCCAAGGAGCACTTTGAAGCAGAATCAGTTTGGAAGGTGTTTGGATCTGATTAAAAAACTTCTCTTAAACTAGATGTAGAATCAGTTTGGATCCAAACTAGGTGTTTGGATCAGTTTGGAAGGTGTTTGGATCTGATTCTACCAGATTCTATTCCTAAAATATCCTTCGTAACTCTCGCTAAGCCCAAATCAGCTACAAACCTTTAGGCATTCTCTACCCTCCAGAGCTTCTCTTCTCCATCGTCTTTGTGGCTCTGTGCGACAAACCCTTTAGGCCGGCGCTTGGGGTTCTCCTGCGAGAGCTTCTCCGACAATTGTCTCCAGGCGACGCAACCCTTTGGGTCGGGGCTTGGCTTCTCCAGCGACGGTTTCTCCAACCTTCATCTCTCGGCTTCAATTTCAAGTCCAATACAAAGACCTTAACTGATTTAGTAATAATTTCAAGGTATACTCTCAATTCGAATTATTGTGTTGGTCTTTCATCTTTTTTTTTTTGCAAATAATTTCTTTGGTTTAGTAATAACTAATAAGCATATGATTTTCACTTAAGCCTAGCAAAACTGGGAACGACATTCAATTCCATAAGTCTATGGAATTTTCACAGCAGCAATAGTGTCCTTTTGGTAAATTTACACAAAAATCAGTTTGGAAAAGTAGCTTATCCAAACACTCAAAACTGATTCTCTATTACATAGAGCAGAATCAATACCAAACACTTCAGACAGAATCACTTTTTCATACAGCAGAAAATTCTGATTCTGATTCTCACTTAAAAATAGAAGCAGAATCAGTTCCAAACACCCCCTAAGATGATTTTGGGAAGTGAATACTTTCAGTCTTTTATTGTAGATACATTAACGTTATCTAGAATTTTGTTTTGTTTAACCAAGTATTCTAATACAATCTATCTAATATAATACTAATTATAACGTTTCACCAATATTATGCCAGTCGAATGCTTCATCTATCCTTGAAAATATGCTGGCTTGGGAAATATAATTTCATAGTTTTTTGTTTAATAATCTTTCAGTTGTTTGTTTCTCAAGCGAAAATTTCCATATCTACTTGCGTTGGCGTATCCTATTTACAACTAGACAAGGAAGGCACAAAATATTATCCTCTTTATCTTATACTCCGTAATTAGTGAAAAAAATGCTAAAAGAATAACATATGTAGATTGCTCCTTCCTTATCTAGTTGTTGTATGTGACCCATAAGCTTCATCATTGGTGGACAATCCCTTTCCTAGTATTCTGTACTTCATCCATTAGACTTAGATGATTGTAGATGGTATACAATGAGCTTTCTTTACATGAAAATGTTCGCCAATATTTATCAAAATAACCAAATCCTAAAACACATGTGGTATTTTGAAAAGTTAGTTTTGTTATACGCTTAACAGTTTTTTTTGAAAGAACGCTTAACAGTTGTTAAAAATAGGATGAACGAATGAATCTGAGATGCCTTAAGTGTCTTAGGAATCAGTTGTAAATTTTGCAGTACACATAGACACTTAGTTTTGAAATGTAAATGTGCTAATATTTACTTCCTAAAAATAGCAATTCTTATATTTAAGTATTATCAACCAACATGGAAAAAGTTTGTACAATTACCTCACAATGTGAAAATCCTATTTCGCACTCTCCCATCGTATGTTTGTTGCAGCCGGTAATGACATCACAATAAAGAATAGTAATTATCTATTGCTTACATTGTGACCACTGAGCAGGGTTCCTCCCTGTCTTGGTGACAGCAGTGCGATGACAAGGGTAACTTCTAGATTTTGTTCCTTCGTCCCAGGCTCCATCTAATAATGTTCTATAGGGATTAGATTTTTTCTCTTTACTTTTATATCTTGAATCTCTCTCTGTAATCCTCTGTCGACCGTCTTTTGGGTCTCCAGTCTCCTCTATATCTATTTATGAATTTTGGTTTTCAATTTTTTTCCAACCAACAACCATTTTCTTCACCCAGCTAGCTCATCTTCTTCCGCATTTTATGTGAGAACTCATTGCAGATTAATAAACCACGTTCATAACGTACATAACTGTTACTAAGACTTGTTAGGGGTTTAGTGTGGACTATGAAAACATGTTTAACATATGGCCTTTTATTATATAAATACACTGGGCCTTTCTTAAGTTACAACCCATTAAAAAGATAAAAACAAAGGCAATTGTGTCTCACAAAATGGCTTAAAGCCGCTTGCCTCAACTTTTCAGGTGTAAGCCTCTTGACCTCTGGAAAAAAATCCAAGCCTGTTACCTCCTCTGTACGTCTCACCTTTTGGCATGCCTCAAAGCGCGCCCCGTAAGAGCCTTTTTACACCATGTATGAGATTGACTGGGGTATTCCAAGTCGTCAAGGTTTTTCAGTTCTTGACTTTTTGCCCATACTGGCCTACTGGGTTTTTCATTGAGTGACCCAGTATTCAGACCGGGTCACCAGTTTCTGTTCAACCTGGCTGGTCTGGTCCCTTTTTAATCATAGTCTAATACTAGCGTTATAAGTCACTGTACCAAACAAGTTTGTAAGCTTTTCCTAGATGATATTCTCTATACCTTTACCTCTGAGGGATCCTCAAGGTGCAATCCTTGGTAGCTTCCTTAAAATGTGGTTATGAAACTGCAAACATTGATGTTTTTACTTCCATGTAGTATTTAAGAAAAGAGACAATTTGCTTTAAGTTCTGCAATGCTAAGCAAAGTTGCTTGGTATGTTTTTTGGTTTAAGAAACTTAACTCTGTACTCTACTACAATCTCTACGATATCTAGTTTACATTGAAGTAGTGAACTTTGTCAATTGACATAATTCATGTAGGGAAAATGTGAATTCATTCACTCATTGCGGCATTAGATTTTTCTTACGGAGTGATCTGATTGAGAATATGCATTCAAATGCATTTGATGCTACTCTTGTACCAGTACATTCACAGAATGTGCATTAATTTACTGCAGGGAGGTATCATATACAGGTTTGGGCATTAGATTTGACCAAATCCCAATGAGCATTCTGTTGATGTCCACATATATTCTATAATTTTCATTTGAATGCCTGGATTTGTTGCTAACTAACATTCCTTCCAAAATCATATCACCTGTAGCTCTGTTTCACATCATTGCTGTTTTTCTTCTTCTCTTTTCTCCTTTCCGTTACTATTTGTTTGTGAATACATTGATCCTAGCTGTAATATTGACCTTCCAGCCATCAATATCTACATTTCAGAAATTCATTGCTTCATTTATGCACCTGCTGAGAGATGTCACCCTCTGATAAATTCATTCATTCAGCATTCTCTCTTAATTGTCTTTGTTTGTATCTTTGTAGTATTTGCTAACCCTTTATGTAATTGAGCTCATCACATTGAAACTTCATTCATACCTCATGGAGCAAATTCACTCGAGACCCCCCTTTGGAAATCCACTTGGTTTTTATTTTTATTCCCACCTTTCCACATTTTTCTTCATTTTATTCCAAAATCTTCTGGCTTCTGTGCTTCCGTCAGAGTTGCTGCACAAACTTATCTTTCTAGATATATTAGATGCCGAGGACGAGAGCTGGTGCTGCCTCTTCTGTTTTAAGGGAACCTGAAAAGATAATTGAGGCTGAAGAGCAAATTGACTTTGATGGAGACAACGAAGACGTAGAGGAAGAGGTTGAATATGAAGAAGTGGAAGAAGAGGTGGAAGAAGAGGTAGAAGAAGATGAGGAAGAAGAGGAGGAGGAAGAAGAAGAGGAGGAAGAGGATTCTGGTAGACTAAAGCATACAGACGATGTGGGACTGGATGCTGATCTTGAAGTAGAAGAAAATAGTAATGATAAAAAGCATGCTGAGCTTCTTGCACTTCCACCTCATGGGTCAGAAGTATACTTAGGTGGTATTAGTCAAGATGTATCTGAAGCTGATGTGAGGCAATTTTTTGACTCCATTGGGGAAGTTGTGGAGGTAACTTCTTTTCCAATGCACTACGTGTGATATGTTTAATTTCTAAATTTACATGGTTGTTGCTTATGGGTTACAGGTTAGGATAATGAAGGGAAAGGAACCTAATCAGAACAAAGGATATGCTTTTGTCACTTTCAGGGAAAAAGAATTGGCCTCCAAGGCAATTGAGGAGCTAAATAATACTGAATTCAAGGTGAGTGAATTCTTCTTTTTCTTCCACGTATCTAAGCATGTTTTATCTATAATTTATAATGTAAGTTGCAGAGTATTTGTTGTCAACTGTTTCTTTCTCTGTTGGAACTTGTATATTTTTATATTGCCATTATTCATTTTTCAAACATTAAGAGTATGTATCTTGCTAACAAAAAACCCCTTGCTGCACAGCATTCAAGCGTTCTTATTAGTCATTTCTCACATCATATATTTTTTAACTGTTTATTAGGGAAGAAAGGTAAAGTGCTCTGCAGCTCAAGCAAAAAATCGTCTTTTCATTGGTAATATTCCTAGACATTGGGTGGTGGAAGATCTTAAAAGGGTTGCCAACAAGACCGGGCCTGGTGTTATTAATGTGGAAATGGTGAAGGTTTGTCTGCACTTCCTATCATTAAAAAATTTCCATGCATGTCCATGCGTGAATAGTTTGGTATACACTTTCATATGAAGTCCAAATCATTTTCAATCATGTATAATTTTAAGTCTTGCTGCAGGATCCGCAGAACTCAAGTCGAAATCGTGGTTTTGCTTTCATTGAGTACTATAATAATGCATGTGCTGAATATTCACGACTGAGAATGTCTGACGCAAAATTTAAGCTTGAGGATAATGCCCCAACCGTGAGCTGGGCTGATCCAAAAAACACAGATTCTTCTGCTGCTTCTCAGGTTGCCACCTGAAATATTCTGTTGACATTCAACTTCTTTCCATTTGTTTTTTTGTTAATGTCTAATTTCTAATATTGGGCAAATAGTATTGCTATCATATTTAGTTCTTTTTGCAACCGCTGCAACCTGACTAAACTACTTGGTGTCATTTATAATGCTTTTTTCCATCGTCAATATAATTTGTGGGTTATTGCTTTTCTTCTGGGTATACCACTCTGTGTTGGACTGACATTTTTACATACTTATTCTTTCACAAAATCAAAAGTGTGTCATGTCTGGCTGAAAAAAGTGATACTTTTTTTATCCCCAGAAAACCTGGTGAAAAAAGTGATACTTTTTTTTCCACATAATTCTTTTTCATCATTCACAAGGCCTCTGGCTGTACCCGGTATCAGGCTTACTGAAGGAGCATGTTGACTTATCAGAGTCACATTAGGTAATACATTCACTAGAATGTATAATTCCCAGGAAGAGCCCCCCTGCAAATTGTCAACACCACCCTCACATTGTGACATTAGGTTTTTAAATTTTGATGATGAGTATGATTTACTTAATACACCGCTATACATAATAGAGAAAAATAGGGAAAACAATAGTAAGTCTTTTCAAACTCTGTAATTTATGTTGTTCTGATGACGAGTATGATTTACTGTGTGTTTTTACTGAGACATCGGTTCAACATATTGAAAATTTGAAATCTAACGGAATTGAGCTGCATGTCTGAATTTATTTGATTTTACATAAAAAAGGGTTTACTCCTAGTGGAAGGTTAATCAAGATAGCTTTTGGTTTGAATTGAGTGATCAACATACTCTTTTGTGTATGAACACGTTGTGTATGACCAAGGGAATTTTGCATTGCTTCAGGTTAAAGCTGTGTATGTAAAAAACTTGCCCAAACAAATTACTCAAGATGAGCTAAAAAGTTTATTCCAGCATCATGGGAAGATTACTAAAGTTGTTCTACCTCCAGCTAAAGCTGGGCAGGAACAGAGCAGGTATGGTTTTGTCCACTTCGCTGAAAGATCTAGTGCCATGAAAGCGCTGAAGAACACTGAGAAATATGAAATTGATGGTGATTGGAACTCTTTCGCTCTTGTTACTTGAATTTATTATTCCATGAAAAAATTGTAATAAGCTCTGGTGAATTTACTATGCTTGCAATGATGTCCGCTTCCACAATAGGTAAAGTTCTGGACTGCTCACTCGCAAAGCCACAGGCAGATCAGAGTGGTAGTGGGGGGTCAATTTCAAATAGAGGAGTTGCACCTCCAACCTATCAACCTCGTATTGGATATGGTTTGGGAGGGAGTCCTTATGGCGCCATAGGTGTGCGCGGCGCACCTCTCGGTCAGGTATGATTCTCAACCGATTTGAAGATTGCTAATGTAAAATTCAGTTTATGCTAATAATTCTGGCCTGCTCTTATACCTCCTCCACTATGAAATAAACTTCTTTTGCTCCTTTTGGTTTGTCTAAAAATAAGTTTCATGTTTTGTGGTAAGGAATGAAATGTGTCTATCATCATTTCACTTGTTTCTATCCAAATTTCAACCACATCTTTCCTTCTCAAGCAAAGCATTCCAAATCCAAACTAGAACAATATTTTGAGAAACACGGAGCATTTTGGCAACTTATTTTAATTTTTGAAGTGATTCCAGCTCATTGGAATAAATGAAGTATTATTTATTTTCCCTCCTTGAGTATAAAAATTGAATTTTTTGAATAAAAATTGACATACTCTATCATTGAAGCAGAGTCACGTTTCCAGAAACTTATTTGTGCAAAAGTAGTTCAGTTTTGGAAGTCAACTTTTATATTTAAGTAAATTTCCTTTAAAGACACGCGGAAAGCTGTTTTAGGGTACAAGTGACCATTCATATATTGTAAAAGCTTGTACCTTGATTGATTGGTCTGAAAATAAAAGTTTTACTTTGCTTGAAAAATACTATTTTTGGGAGGCAGGAAGTTATATGGTTATCTTCATAATCATTGACAGAGATTAATCTTTTACAGCAATTACTTTATGGAAGAGGAGCCACGCCACCTGCTGGTGTGGCAATGATGCCATTGCTTTTGCCTGATGGAAGGATCGGATATGTCTTGTAAGTATTTTCATTAATAGTAAAAACTAAAAAGTATAAATGTATAATATGGACTTGAGAGAGCATCTGACCAGATTTTAATGGGGAAAAGTTTGGCCTAATGGTAGTGATAAACTAGGATCTTATTAAGAATATAGTTGGATCTGAAACTGTCTTTGGATGGCAGGCAACAGCCAGGAGTTATGCACACTCCTCCACCTGCACCACGAACAAACTTCGGTAGCAGCGGACGGAATTCAAGTGGAGGTGTAAGGCGGAGTGGCGGCAGTGACAGTGGGCGAGGTCGAGGGCGAGGCCGATATAACCCTTACTAGTTCTTGTGGAGTTGTTTGTACTCTGGAAATGCTTCTTTAAATTTATTAGCAATTTTTAAGGAACATGTCGACGTGGGCTTCCTCACCTGTAGTGGAAAGTAGGAACCTCTAATGTTACATTCTTTCGATGCTATGATTATTGTATAATATTGGCTGCTAGGCTTGTAAACATATACCAACATTGCGGCATTAAATTATACGGAGTACTATGTAGTTTTGTCTTCGAATCTTTTCGAATTTTAATTTGGGAGAATGATATAATATATTTCTGAACTACATGTCAGAAAATCAATGTATTACTAATCCTCTTTTGAACAATTAAATACATAAGCTGTGTTCCTTAAAAAAATACATAAGTTGTGACTTTTGAGGGTAAATAAGTTCTATAATAGTATAATGTAGTGTAGTTTAAGCCTTAGGGTGGTCTACTTGTCCTAGTTCTACAATGTTTTATTATTTAATTGTTGTGAAAAAAGCTTAGGGCTGCGTGTTTTTTTGACACATTCTAAGTTTTTAACTAGGGATTAGTCATGGACCTGGGTCGGGCCCGTCCGGGCTTTTTTTGGGAAGGAAGGCCCGGGACCGGCCCGGGTAGCCACCAGGTCCGGTCCGGGCCTCCGGTTTGGTCAATTTTTTTTTTGCTTTCCTAGCCCCCCCCCCTAGGGATGGACCCGGGCCGGGCCGGTTCCGGTTCCGGGCCGGGCCCGGGCGGGCTTTTTTTCGGGTTACATGGGCCCGGAACCGGCCCGGGTTGATACCGGGTCCGGGCCTAACCGGGCCGGGCCGGGCCGGGCCCGGTTCAATGTTTTTTTTTTTTTTTTTTTTTTTTGACTTTCTTGTTATCTCCCTACCCCCCCCCCCTCACCCCCACGCCCCAAACCTCCCTAAAACACCCAGCCCTACCCTAGGAAAAGAAAAAAAATTGAAAAAACCAAAAAAAAAAAAAATGAACCGGGCCCGGCCCGAACCGCCCGGGCCGGTTCAACAAAAACAGGGCCCGGAACCGGCCCGCCCGACCCGCCAAAACGGGCTAAAAGCCCGGAACCGGCCAACCGGGCCCGGTCCGGTCCGGGCCCGCACAGTAGCGGGCCGGTCCGGTTCCGGGCCGGTTCGGCCCGGCCCAGTCCATCCCTACCCCCCCCCAACCGCCCCAAACCCCTCCTAACCATCAAGCCCAACCCGGGTAACCGCAAAAAATGAAAAAAAAAAAACATCAATTCAGCCCGGACCCGGGCCTGACTCGGTCGGGCCGGTTTGCCAAATACAAGACCCGAGCCCGGACCCCCCCCCACCGGGCCTAGGCCTGACCCGGACCCGGACCTAAGAACCGGGTCCATGACTACTAGGGATGGATTGGGGTGGGTTGGCCTGACCCGGGCCTGGTACTGTTTAGGCCTGATTCGGCCTAGACCTGTTTAAGCCCGGTGCTTGGCTTGGTCTTGGCCTAGTGGTGGACTCGGGTCGGGCCACCCGGCCCGCTACTGTGTGGGACCGGGACCGGTCCGGTTCTTGGGTCCGGGTCGGGCCTAGGCCCGGGGGAGGGTGGGTCCGGGCTCGGGTCTCACATTTGGCGAACCGGCCCGACCGGGTCGGGGTGGGGTCCAAGCCAATTTGTGTTTTTTTTGTTTTTTTTTGTTTTTTTTTCTTTTCATTTTTTGGGGTTCCACCTAGGGGTGGACTCCGCCCGGCCTGGCCCGGCCCGATCACTGTTTGAACCGGCCCGAGCCGCCGGCCCGGTTAGGGACCGGTCCGGGTAGGCCCGTACCGTTGGGGTTCCGGGCCGGGCTCGGGCCCGGTCCGGGCCTATTTATTTATTTTTTCTTTTTTTTTTTGAATTTATTTTAAGTTTTTGGGTTGGGCTGGGTATTTTGGGCCATTTGAGGTGGTTTGGGGTGGTTTGGGGGTGAGGGGGGAGGGTTGGGGGTTAATTAGGAAAAGCCAAAAAAATAAATTAAGTTGAACCGAGGCCTGGCCCGAACCGGACCCGGGGGTTACCCAGGCCGGTTTTGGGTCTCCCCTTTCATGAACCGAGGCCCGGCCGGGCCCGAACCGGCCCGGGTCCACCCCTAGTTCCACCCAGGTTGGGCTTGATGGTTAGGAGGGGGGGGGGGTGAGGGTGGGGGGAGGAGGGATTAGGAAAGCAAAAATAAAAAATCCCAAACCGGAGGCCCGACCCGGATCGGACCCGGTGGCTACCTGGGCCGGTCCCGGGTCCACCAATACTGAACCGCCGGCCCGCCCGGGCCTAGGCCCGACCCGGACCCGGCCCGGGTCCATCACTATCTCTGCCTGGTGGCTATAAGGGTGGGCTTCGGTCTGGTTTTTTAGGCCCGATCTGGTTGGTCGCGGGCCGGTCCTGGGCTTGATTGCACTATTTTCACAAATATATTGTCCAGGGCTCCAGGCCTGTCTTGACCCGGTACTGTTTAGGCTCGGTCCTGCCTAGTCCCGGTACAAACTCAGGCCAATACCAAGCTTGAAAATTTTAATCCCAAATCTATCCAGTCCCGATCCGAAGCCTATCCGTCCTGGTCCCGGTCCTGGTCCATCCTTATTTCTAACGGTGTTTTTTGACATTCTTTTTTGCATTAGTCATTGATGATGCACCAATATTGATGATGCATTAGTCATTGGTTCACATCTTTATTTGATTGGCTGATATGTGTGCTATTTTTCACACTTTACATTTTTCTCAATTATTATTTCCTTATACCAATTTTTCAATCTCCAAAAAAACTAAAGCACAAGTCTATTAAAAATTCTAGATTATTTCGAGTTTTTTCCTGGAATAATGCTAATTAAATAAATAATTCCCAAAAAACTGATGGGTTAAAAATAATTCCTAAAATACTGCCGGAGTTAATCGTGGTTAAGAAAGCCGCTACTTGAATTGGCGGCTCTTCTCTTACAGCACAAAAGCCGCCACTTGAAGTGGCGGTTCTTCTCTTACAGTACCACACCAACTTATTCAACCGGAAAAAAACACAAAAACCTGCTCTGTACTATACAATCAACTAAAAAACATTAACCAACTGCTATTTATAGTCAATATGAGGCACTAAAAGAACAAAACATATCTGAGACACAAAACGAGTCAATGAACTACATTGGATTACAATACTTGAAATATCACATAAATTTGATAATTCGATCAGTCGATTCATGTTTAACGCAATAATGTAAAGTACATACTACCTCCATTCCCCTATGTTTGGGACAAAAGAAAGTGGCACAATTATTAATAAAAGTGAGATTATGTGGTTGATATTGAATTGATAAAGAATAAAGTAGGAATGAAATGATAAACAATTGTATTGAATTGATATTAAATAAATAAATAAATAAATAAATAAATAAATAAATAAATACGAAGACCTTCAATGTTCTAAATCAAAAATGCTCCATCAATTCCACATCAAATGGCAAAAAACAATGCTTTGTCACTCAAACATATCGCTAGTAGTGCCATTATCCACCCAAACTCGACACTCCTAGCGAACCTCTTAGATTATTGCATCAGCACAAGGTCACCATTGGCAGCGCGTTCAGTGCATGAGAGGGTCCTGAAGAGTAATTTCATCCACGAGGTCTTCATCAACAACCGGCTCATTGATGCTTATGGCAAATGTTTCCTATTACATGAAGCCTGCCAGGTGTTTGATAAAATGCCCAATAAGAACACTTTTACTTGGAACTCCATGATCAATGCCTTGACGACATTTAAACGTGTTGATGAGGCAGAGGAGCTTTTTTAGTTGTTGTATGTGACCCATAAGCTTCATCATTGGTGGACAATCCCTTTCCTAGTATTCTGTACTTCATCCATTAGACTTGGATGATTGTAGATGGTATACAATGAGCTTTCTTTACATGAAAATGTTCGCCAATATTTATCAAAATAACCAAATCCTAAAACACATGTGGTATTTTGAAAAGTTAGTTTTGTTATACGCTTAACAGTTTTTTTTTTTGAAAGAACGCTTAACAGTTGTTAAAAATAGGATGAACGAATGAATCTGAGATGCCTTAAGTGTCTTAGGAATCAGTTTTAAATTTTGCAGTACACATAGACACTTAGTTTTGAAATGTAAATGTGCTAATATTTACTTCCTAAAAATAGCAATTCTTATATTTAAGTATTATCAACCAACATGGAAAAAGTTTGTACAATTACCTCACAATGTGAAAATCCTATTTCGCACTCTCCCATCGTATGTTTGTTGCAGCCGGTAATGACATCACAATAAAGAATAGTAATTATCTATTGCTTACATTGTGACCACTGAGCAGGGTTCCTCCCTGTCTTGGTGACAGCAGTGCGATGACAAGGGTAACTTCTAGATTTTGTTCCTTCGTCCCAGGCTCCATCTAATAATGTTCTATAGGGATTAGATTTTTTCTCTTTACTTTTATATCTTGAATCTCTCTTTGTAATCCTCTGTCGACCGTCTTTTGGGTCTCCAGTCTCCGGGATCACCGCAACCGCACCAGCCCGCATTAGCGTTGTGATTTCAATTCACGGCCAAAATCCGCGATGAAGCCGTAACGTAACTGCGACGGCCCCGCATCCGGCCGCAACGGGTTGCAACTGGCCGCAATGCCGCCGCTTCACCTTCCTCCTATTGACCCTGCAACATATTTTATGGCTAAGCATCGTTGCCTGTGTATATTTTTATCTGCATACTCTTATTCAAGATACTCCAATAGAGAAGAGGCAATAAAGAAGATACTCTACCGAATGAGTTTGAGAGATAACCTGCTTAGGATGAATTATTTATCTTTTTTTCAAGTTGCTCGCAACTTGCTCCTGCACTCCTGACAACAACTTGTTTGATTCCGCCAAATTGATTATTTTAATTATGAAATTTTACTTCAGTTATATGTGTAGTTTAGTGGTTGACCAACTAAAGTTTAGTGCATGTTGATGTGTGTTTGCTATACTTTTTTTGAAAGATGTGTTTGTTATAATTCAAATATTTATTTAATTTAAATATGTATTTACACTTGTGTAGCTTCATTTTCTGTTGTGTTTGTAATATTTATATAGTTTATCAATATTCCTAATCATTATTCTCTTTTAATCATCATATTCTTATTGGTTGATTCGTTGTTTACATATAAGTGTTTAAAAAGTATTCATAATGCATCATAAAAAGAAGTATTCATAAATGTGCTAAATTCGCTCCGATCCAAATGTGCTAAATTCGCTCAGTCGTCCCACATCACTTTTAGCCAGATTTTTTGTTGGGCTTTTGGACTGCTTGGGTCTCCACTGTTAAGTTTCACATATTAAGATTTTAGCAGATGTACACTTTAATTAGCTTTTTTATGCATAACGGGTTTCACAAGTTTATGATTTCCATTTGTATGTGTTCACAGTGACTACATGTGAACTATGGTGGTAAAAACCTATAACTGTAGTCACCAAATTCTGAAAATATCTTTTGTAAAAAAAGTCTGAAAATATCCCAATAGGGGAAAAGTAAATAATGCTTTTCTTACCTCAATGCTAGGCATGAAGGCCAGGTGATGTTTTTCCTCTGTTTATGGTGTATTTTGTAGGAGTTAAATCTTTTAATATTTTAGGAAAAGGTTATCAAGATGAGCATATGCATCTCAAAAACAAGAAATGTTATAAGCTTATAATTAAAAATTCAAATAAGCTCAAACAGATCGGTTAATATCAACTGTCCTCTATTATTAAAATTACTCTCTTAGAGTCCCCTTTTCCTTATTATTAATTATTAAAGCTACACAATTTGTTGTTCTTTTCTTTTGGCAGAAATGGACTACTTTAGATCTTGTAACCACAAAATAATATTGAACCAAAAAAATGATTCAAGTGACTTGCTTAATTACCTGTTTAGCTATGGTACTTTAACAGCATAACTGTTTATGAACACATGAAGTAAATATGGGTGTTCTATGTTAACTATTACACATTGTGCTTCCTTTTTATTTAAAATTTGACACACCGTCCTAATTGAGTATGTTTATTTGTATGCACCTGCTCGGTTCAGATGTAAACTTTTTAGGCCGCTTTTCTCATTTGGATAGTTAGTAGTTCTAACTACTGTTGGTTTTGTTTCCATTACTTTAATTGAAAGTGAATACCAAAATTAGATGTTTGCCCTCTTTCAAGGGAGTTAATAGTAGTACTTTTGCAAGTAAATTAAATTGATTTTAAATGTATACTAGGCATGAAGGTGATATTTTTGCTATTGTGGCAGCATTTTTGTTGTTTCTACTTCTATTTATAGGATATCTCCAGGAGTAAAATCTTCTACGCCGTATTTAAAAATGGATCAAACTAAACATATGACATTCTTGAAATAGGAATAATGATAATTAATGTTGATGACTAGCTCCATAAAAGGTTATGAAAAGCATTATCCCTTTTAACCATTACTGAGACTCTTATCGTACAGAAAGTAGACTAATTTTGTCTTATATACTCATATTTTGGTCTGAGAAGCATTTTTGGAAGGGATTCTCAAAATCCAAACTCAACCAAAATTATAAAATCTCTACTTTGTACAATCTGCTCCAACTATGAGAAGTTGTGAGGGGCATATAATAAATGAGGTAAAATGTTTGCAATCTCCAGTTTGAACAAAAAAACTAACATGTATACCATATCTTGTTTGTGCCTTGTTCTGAAATGAACAAGTGTTCATCTCCATGAAGTCCACATTGATAGAGTTGGCTAACTGCCAAAGTAACAGTTCACTACTTAGACCACAAAGCTTCAACATTTTACATCTTTGCACTAGGTTGCACATTATGGGAGGTTATGGCTTTGCTTCATTAAAAATAAATACTTGTTCAATTAACTTGGAATATTACTTTTGTATGTTCATTTTTAGTATATTTGGATCCTGAAAAAAAATGTGATGTTTGTCTTGGTATTATTTGTGATTGACTGGTTGTACATGTCAACTTGGTCATTCGATGTTATGCTAATTTAATTTATATTATACTACTTGTGAAAATATTATTATTATATTGGATACATAAATATATTGATTTCCCTATGTTAGCAGATTATCTCATTATTTTTACTTGTGTAGGTTGCTCGTTGTTGCTTAACTATTCTCTTTTCGGTTGTGCTTTGAACGTGGGTGAGATTTCTTATGTTAGCTATTCATTTCACTATGTTAGCAGATTATCTCATTAAAAGTTTTTTCCTTAAGGAAATTTCTCAAAAGAACTAGCAATACTTGAGCATGTACTATATCTATTTCAATCTTATAAAGTTTTTTGGGTGTGAATTGAAAAAAAATAGGTCCAACAACCCTTCCTCGAATTTGCATGTTTTTTTTTTCTTTTTTGTATTTCATTCCAAGAACTATATTTTTTGGTACCTATAAATGTCAACAAGTAAACTTTTCAAAGTAATTGAATTTACTCAAGATACAATACACATATATCCTAACAAAAAATGCATTGGGCACTTTCCAAATTGTGCAACACGTGTGTAAATAGCTAATGAATATTAAAACTGAAATTGAAGAAACTGAAAGTAACGATAGAGATGAGGCAAATTCGAGAGTGCCTTGTCTCTCCGAATACTAGGTGATAGTGTATAGTAGAAGCTAAGGACTTACTTTGGTGTGAAGCTTGTGCGCTGCCGCTTCCAATGGCGGCTAAATCCACCATTTTGCAGTCAATTCTTTAAACTTACTCTGGAATATTCATCTGCTATAGAATATTAAAAGCGGAGGATGAAAGTAGAAGATGACTACTCGACCTAATCCAAGAGCAGGAGATTAAGAGTTGTGAATTTGGCAATAAAATGACTCTTTTGACCCCCCATTAATTAGCACATGACACGCACATGTGTGCAGTTGGTCGGAAAATCAACTGGAGGACCAAAACTAGGAAATATTTCATAGTTGTGTACCAAATCTGGGAAAAACAAAAGACGGGGACCAAAAATATGACCAAGAAAGTATGAAAACAACCATTTATACGGAGTAATAAAATTCATAACAGGGAGGTAACTTTAGCGAGACAGCTATCAAGGGTGAGCAGAGAAATAGATTAGGGCTCGAGAGAGGACCAATAACCCTACGCCAATCCATTAGTCAGCGCCACATCCTTTTTTTCTCCTGCAGTTTCTCCCTGGGATACGTTCGTAACCCGGTATATTCTACTCTAACCTTCGTTTTCATTGACAACGTCTCCGAACCCAGATCTCATCCTCATCCATTATACTCCTTCTAGTAATTTTGGTGGGTTTTAGTGTTACTTCGTATGTTTACGGTCTTCAAATATCAACTAAGGTCCTTGCAAAAAAATATCAACTAAGGTCTCACGTACGCTTTACTATACTGTATTATTCTGGTAATTAGTTGTTATTTATTTATTTTTTGTTATTTCCAATTAATTGACCTGGGTGACCTCAAAATTTTATTTTGGATTCAATTCGAGCCCTAACAAAAATCCTATCAGTTTTTCTTTAATTGAAGACTCGTAAAATGTTCTTTTTGGGATTTTGTTATACTGGCGGCTTATCTTTGTTTTATTGGGTTTTGTTTTTTCTAGGTTACAAGATCCTTACTTGGTGAAGGTATAAGGCGTCAACGTTGCATCACCTTTGGTCTTCTTAAAAAATTGTGTTTACCTTGAGAAGGTATATTCCACTATTTGTTGTGTTTATACTTTATAGGTCTATGTATACGCGTATATGTATCACTCTGTGTCATCCATTTAGATTGTATGTGTACACATGTGTCGGTCAATTAGTCTAAACATCCATTTGTATTAAGAGGATGTTTGGATCTGATTTTAGAAGCTGATTCTGCTGCCCCAAGGAGCGCTTTGAAGCAGAATCAGTTTGGAAGATGTTTGGATCTGATTAAAAAACTTCTATTAAAATAGGTGTAGAATCAGTTTGGTAGAAGCCTGTATACTACCAGCTTCTGAAAATCAGCTTCCGATTCCTAAAATATCCTTCGTTTTAGGCATTCGTTACCCTCCAGAGCTTCTCTTCTCCATCGTCTTTGTGGCTCTGTGCGACAAACCCTTTAGGCGGCGCTTGGGGTTCTCCTGCGAGAGCTTCTCCGACAATTGTCTCCAGGCGACGCAACCCTTTGGGTCGGGGCTTGGCTTCTCCAGCGACGGTTTCTCCAACCTTCATCTCTCGGCTTCAATTTCAAGGTATACTCTCAACTTGTGAGTTTGTTGATTTTCTCAAGTCCAATACAAAGACCTTAACTGATTTAGTAATAATTTCAAGGTATACTCTCAATTCGAATTATTGTGTTGGTCTTTCATCTTTTTTTTTTTTGCAAATAATTTCTTTGGTTTAGTAATAACTAATAAGCATATGATTTTCACTTAAGCCTAGCAAAACTGGGAACGACATTCAATTCCATAAGTCTATGGAATTTTCACAGCAGCAATAGTGTCCTTTTGGTAAATTTACACAAAAATCAGTTTGGAAAAGTAGCTTATCCAAACACTCAAAACTGATTCTCTATTACATAGAGCAGAATCAATACCAAACACTTCACACAGAATCACTTTTTCATACAGCAGAAAATTCTGATTCTGATTCTCACTTAAAAATAGAAGCAGAATCAGTTCCAAACACCCCCTAAGATGATTTTGGGAAGTGAATACTTTCAGTCTTTTATTGTAGATACATTAACGTTATCTAGAATTTTGTTTTGTTTAACCAAGTATTCTAATACAATCTATCTAATATAATACTAATTATAACGTTTCACCAATATTATGCCAGTCGAATGCTTCATCTATCCTTGAAAATATGCTGGCTTGGGAAATATAATTTCATAGTTTTTTGTTTAATAATCTTTCAGTTGTTTGTTTCTCAAGCGAAAATTTCCATATCTACTTGCATTGGCGTATCCTATTTACAACTAGACAAGGAAGGCACAAAATATTATCCTCTTTATCTTATACTCCGTAATTAGTGAAAAAAAT